CAAGGTCATCAATGCCCTGCTCATGAAATCCTAAAGGTATTTTCACAGTCATTTTTACTGTTTTTTTGTTTTGTTTTGTTTTGTTTTGTTTTTGTAGACAGAATCTTGCTCCGTCACTAGTCGCCAGGCTGGAGTGCAGTGGCACGATCTCAGCTCACCGCAACCTCCACCTCCCGGGTTCAAGTGATTCTCCTGCCTCAGCCTCCCGAGTAGCTGGGACTACAGGTGTGCGCCACCATGCCCAGCTAATTTCTGTATTTTTTTAGTAGAGACAGGCTTTCACCATGTTGGGCGGTATGGTCTCAATCTCTTGACCTCGTGATCCACCCGTCTCAGCTTCCCAAAGTGCTGAGATTACAGGCATGAGCCACTGCGCCCCGCCCAATTTTTACTCTTCTACAACATTTGTCACTACTAATTAGCTTTCTATTCCACTAAGTTATTTTTCCTTGGCTTCCAAGACATTATCACGTTCTGCCCCACCTGACCTTTTCCACCACTCTTCCATCACCTTTGTAATCTCCTCCTCCTGCTGCTCCACTTACTGTGGGTTTCATCTCTACCTGGGCCACACACACAGGGTCCCCACAAATATTTGTGGAATGAATGAACAGGCTTACATTCTTCTGGTCTTTCTCTATCCGCCAGCTACTCCTCCAACATTATGGATTCAACTGCCATCTCTATGCAGATGATTAACAAAAATGTGTATCCACAAAATCTGCAGGTGCCCTTGGTTTCTCCTGTCCTGATCTCCAAGCTAAACCTCAGCTCCGCACTTCCAACTTCTAATGATCACTTCCTGTTAGCCTTGTCACCATCTTTTTAAACCGAACTTATCCAAAATCAATCTCTTCAATCTTTTCTGTAGTCTCTCTTAGATTGGGAATTGTGTTTTTAAAAATCATTATTTCTCCTGCAATCTAGGATCATAAACATTTCTTCTTGTTTTTAACCTCAAGAGGTTGCAAGACGGGTCTATAGAGGTTGGTCCATTTATTTGAATCCCTTTGCTCTGGGCTTCAGGTGAGAACCCTGAGTGAACAGTCATGCCACTTTGTGAAGTGAGTGGCCCAAGCCTAGCCACTGTCCAGACATGAATCACAGGACATGGTGTACTCCAGTATTTTCTCTTCCCATGCAATTCTTGAATAAACAACTTGTATTTTGATCATCCTCTAAAGTCTAATTACAACCATGAGGCCTTCACAATAAGAACAAGATTCAGAGGGATTTAAAAAGTACTAAACAAAATCGCAGACAAGGCCTCCATTGCTTCTGAAACACCCACCCTGACCCCTAGTAATTCTGAGTGTTCCCTATTCTATCTCCCTGGTCAAAAAGAGACCACAAAAACAAAAGTCCCTCCCTAAAGGAATTCATCTGGGCTCCTATTTTGTTCTCTTAGTCCTTTAGCTCATCTTGCCTCACACATCCTGAAGAATATGAATCCACAAAATGAAGGACACCATGTCCTCATTTCTGCAGGGCAATTATTCTTTACATCAGTGCTTCATTCTGCTAAGTAGTTCACCTGCACTTACAACAAGCCCAGGCCACCTGACTTAACCACTTCTTCCTTAAAAGGGCCGGACACCTCCCCCATACACCCACAGGTTTTTAAGTACCCATAAAATAAGTTGTCTCCTGATGTCTTCCCAGCCCCAATTTCTAATCAGCCCTCTCTTTCCTGTGACTCTCCCACTCAGTTGAGGTTCTATTGCCCTAATTTCTAGACTTCTTCAAAGGCTTTGTCAGAGTCTCCCCTCTGCCACTTCTTTTATGTCAAACATATCATTTGCACTCACTTTTTTAAAATTGCTTTTATAATTCATATAATGCTTTCATATGAACAGATATAAAAGAGCCAGAAAGCAAAGTATTAACCTGATGAGCATTTTATATCATACAATAATTTTCTCAAAAAATTAAATGAGATGAGAATAAGAATAGCTAATGCTCACCGAGTGCTCATTTTAAGCCAGGCACTGATTTAATGTGCTTTAAATGTATTATCTACCAATAATAACATTATTAGATACTATTATTACCTCCATATTACACATAAGGACATTGAGACACAAAGAGTGTCTTTAACATCATAACATTATGATGTTTAAATTATCCTTCCATGGCTTCTTATTGTCTATAGCACAAAGTTTAAAATACTTGCCTGAATATTTAGGATACTTCCAAAGATACCCCAGAGGATATTTCCTCTTCTCCATACACATATGCTTCATTATACTCTCCCCAATTGCCTCATTTCTCCCAAATCTCTTCTCTACCTGGTCTGCGTATTTTTTAAACACTGAAAATAAATTATTGGCCTCCAACCCCAAAGCCCCATTGTTTCTAACCTCCTGAAACTTACAGAAGCAACAGTATCTTGGTACATAATCAAATACTGCCTTATATTATTAAGTAAATCAATATGAGACTTGATTATAAAGTAATAAAATTTTGTTCCACAAACCTTACTGTAAATCAAAATCATTATTTTACACTACTAAACAGGAGTCAAAACTGGTGGCTGTGGATAAGACCCAGCTTCAGACCAGCTTTATGTGGCTGTAGAGCTTTTGGCTGATTTAGATTTGAATTTGAAGAAGCGCATCATGTGGGAGGTGGAGGATTATATGCTCCACTTCACTCCAGCTTCCTTCACTCACCATTATTTCAAACTCCACTGCTTCTGACAGTCACAAATCCTGCCTGGTCCTAAAGACATCTGAGTTTGCAACACCTGGGAATCACACTTGAAATACCTCATTTCACATCTTATTACCCCAGTAAGTCTGCAAACTTCAAGAGGGCACAGGTTGTATTTTATACCCCTTAGTGTGACCCCTCCCTGCCCCACAGGGTCCTGCATAATACTGAGCACACAGAAGGAGTTTAATCAGTATAAGTTGAGTGGGTCCATGCAAAGCTGTGGAATCAATTTGGTTAACTTCAGGGCTGGGAGGAGACCCATTGAACAAAGGATGTCATCCTATCCCTTACGCAATACCAAATGAGTTTTCATAATGAAGATCTCCCACCACAAATGCCACACTTCCAGCAATAACACCTACTGCCTACAGACTGTTCCTGGAAGTCATCCCAATAAAACAAGTAAGATGTTTATCCCAGTTCAAAATTCCAATTCTAGTGAGTGTCAGTTCCTGGAGGAAAAGGAACAGGAAAGTTTATCTGGGGGTGGTGGGAAGGAGGGGACTTCCTAAAAATGCTGTTTACAAACATAGCATTCCAATGACAGGAAATAACAGCAGAAAGTATCTCTTGTTGGCCTAAATAAGAAGTGGTTAATTGTTCCAACTTCTGTCAAGAGACCTTAGTTGCTCTGTTATTTTGAAATGTTCTGAGTTCATGTTTTTCAAACCCTTTAGGTTGAATCATCTGGGATGCCTCAGGGCCAACCAGGTGGCAGCCAAAGGGTGACAGGAAGTGGTACAGAGAACCTGAGGCTTGGAAATGAGACAGAGCAGGGTTTGCAAACTGGCTCTGACACTTGCTTTTCTGAGCCTCAGTGTCCTTAGCAAGAAACAGGGGGAGCAATGCTTTCCTTAAAAAATTAAATGAGATGAGAATAAGAACAGCTCATGCTCACTCACTGCTTATTTGTGTCAGGCACTGATTTGACGTGCTTTAAATGTATTATCTACCAACAATAACATTACTAGATAGATACTATCATTACCTCCATGTTACAGATGAGGACACTGAGACACAAAGAGTGTCTTTAAACATCATAATATTAGGATATTTAAATTATCTGTCCACAGCACTCAGCCTGTAAATGGCAGAACTAGGATTTAAATCCAGGTATTCAGTGGGGCATGGTGGCTCATACCTGTAAGCCTAGCACTTTAGGAGGTTGAGGTGGCAGATCATTTGAGGCCAGGAGTTCAAGACCAACCTGGGCAATATAGGAAGACCCCCGTCTCTATTTTTTATATTTAAATAAATAAATAAATAAATAAAAATACACATACACACAAACACACACACACACACACACACATACACACACACGGTGGAGGGTGAGGAGGGTGAGGTGGGGCGCTGCTAATGAATCACTCTAAAAGATACAGAATCCCGAGGCAAAATTTTGGACTAGAAACTCCTCATTTTGTTGAAGAAGCTCCATCAACTCAGCCATCAAGAAAAGGACTCATCTGCACCAAGGAAAAGCTCCTGTCCTAGACATGACCCTATTTTGACCAAATTCCCTATTTTAGAATGTGAAATTAAGCATAGGTTCTTTCCTTTGATAAACAAAGTAACTTTACTGCCATAATTTGGTGCCCCTAGATCCATTGTGGAGGATAGAAGGCTCCCACGCCAAAGGAGCAAAGAGTTGGGGCTGTTATCACTGTCAGCAGGGTTTCCAGCACAAGGGAAGAGAGGAGAGGAGGTCTCCCCAAGACCTGGAGGTCCCCCAAGTAGTGCTAGGAGGGGGTCCCCTAACCAGAGAAAGACAGCAGTCCCATCGGGTGGTGCTAGCGGGTTCTCTAGTCGCAGCATGGACTAGAGGGCATATCCTGTTCCTTAGGCTGCTCTCCAGAGACTTTGGCTTCTTTGATGTAAGCAACTGTGGGGAATACTGGCTATACTGAGAGTAATGCAGAATTTGGGTGCTAGGGCTGAATTCACACACATCCATCAGTTCTAAAATTACACCTAAAACCAACCACTCCTTTTATGTCAAACATATCATCTGCACTCTCATTTTTTTAAAAATCTCATCTATAATTCATGGCCTACAGGCTTCGGCTAACTTTGGGTCAGTCAGGTGACCATAGAGAAATGGCCTCATTGTGCAGCAGCTTTTGTTTGGAGGGCCCAGGTTCCACAAAAGAGATTTTCTTAGGAGCCTCTGCAAACCAAGACCCCATGAAACATGCTCATGAAATATGCTCCAGGCTTTGACAGATTTGCAACCATAAAAGTCAAGAAAGGAATTATAAACTGAAGCAAGACAGACGGGAATCCTATTTATGATGTTTAATGACGCAGATCTTCCCAAAGTAATCCAAACCCCAAAACATCACAAAATTATTCATGCTCCAAAAGCAGAATACCTCAACTGAAACCCTTGCCCCAGCATGATTCCTCAAAATTGAAATAATTCCTTGAAAAACAAAAAGTTAAAACAAAAATAAGTTAAGGAATAGAGTTAATAGACTTGAAAGTAGAGAGAAAAAAGCACAATTTAGTGTGAAAAATAAAAATGACTTTAGGAATGGGCATTTAAGATCTTATTAAATTAAAGAGTTATTCTCAAACCATTTCAAAAAAACACTGAACATTGAATGTCATGGTGTATATTTTAATAATAACTGAAATGGTATACCAGTTAATTAGGGCTGCTTTCCTTCAGCTTCTTACGTAAGTAGTCCTCTCCTGAGACTTAGGGAATAATCTTAATGTAACAAAATGTTTTCTTATTTTTGATGACTATTTAGAGGTGACATCAAAATTATAAATTGACAACTATAGTTTCAGAGAGACCGAGAACATATTAGCACATTTAATTTAAGCTTGCTGACGGCCTTGCCAAGGTGGAATGCTGGTTGTAATACAGGTTGAATCTCCCTTATCTTCAATGGTTGGGTCTGACCAAAAGTGTTTCAAACTTGGGTTTCTGTTTTTGTATTTTGGAATTTTTACATAAATGCAATGAAATACCTTCAGGATAGGGGATAGGACCTAAGTCTAAACATGAAATTCATTTATGTTTTATATATACCTTATACACATAAGCCTGAAGGTAACTTTACACAACATTTTAAATAATTTTGAGCATGAAACAAAGTTCCAAATGCATTTGACTGCAACCTGCCACATGCAGTCAGATGTGGAATGCACTTCCACAGATGCAGTCACTTATGGTGTCATATTGGCACTCAAAGACTTTGGATTTTGGAGCATTTCAGAGTTGAGATTTTTAGATTGGGATGTTCAACTTGGATATACCTTTATTTGGCTGAAATTCTAAGAAGATAAATGAATTTTGTTTCGTTGTTTTGTTTCTGGAGTCCCTTTTCTGTTTTAGTTTTTAATTTCATTTTCTTAATTTACCTAATGAACTAATCACTATTATCACAATGAGGAAAAAAAAAAACTTGGCTCTCACTGAATCTTCTAAAAATGGAACAAGTTTTAAGGTATTATCTTACTACTCAGGCTCTATAGCAAAATATCATAAAACGGGTAGCTCATAAACAACAGGAATTTATTTATTACAGTTCTGGAAGCCGGGAAGTCCAAGATCAAAACATCAGCAGATTCAGAATCTGGTGAAGGCCCTCTTCCTGGTTCAAAGATGGAGCCTTCTTACTGTCTCTTCACCAGTGGAAGGAGCAAACGAGCTCCCTTGAGCCTATTTATAGAGCACTATTCTCATTTATGAGGGGTCCACCCTCACAACCTCACCTCCCAAAAGGCCCATTTCCTCAGAGGTTAGGACTTCAAGATACAAATTTTGAGGGGATACAAACATTCACACTATAGCAGGGCTGGTAGAGGAAAACGCTATGGTTATACTGCGAAGGAGGGACATGAGTTTCCACTTTCAGGCTCCTCTTCTCTGGGTCTGTATCAACGAAGACAAATGTACCTCTAGTCTGTCTTTATCCCATCCGCGTCCTCTTCCTGCTCCCTCAAACTGCATAAGCAATTTATAAATGCACCTTCCTAACCAACTTTAAAACATGACATTGGTAGTCCTATCTGTAGAACCTATTCACTTAATGTAATTCTTTTGGAGAAATATTTGAGGAAGCTTTTGTTCCTCATCTAAATTTACAAAGAATTGCTGGAACAAAGGAGTAGGAAACAGAAGGAGTAGTTTAAACTACACTCCAAAGGAACTAGCCTCCTCTTGCAATTTACTATAGAAATTCAACATTTAAAACAAGATCTGAATTCTCTAGAGGCAGTGCTCTCTTGTCTAGGTTTTTAGCGGACTTCATCTAAATCAAGCCTAACACTAAGAAATAAACAAACAACAACAAAAACAGATTTACCAAAAAGAGAAGGTCAAGTTGACAGTTTTCCTGGAGGATTTATCAGGCTATTCCTCTGAATAGCCTTCCTCTAGCTCATATATAACTAATTTGAGAGAGAGAGAAAGAAAGATAGGGGAGGAAGAAGGGATCAGAAGGAGGAAAATAGAAGAAAAGAAGTTTTCAAGAACACATTCACTGTTAAAAATGAAGAATACCTTAAAAGGCATCTTGACATTTTCGTTAGAATTCTAAGAAGTCCTTTCCAAATGGAAAAGCACCTGTCACCCAACTATGGTGCTTTCTATTTCATGTTCAAAACAAACATACAAAAACACAAATTTTCCAGCTTGACAAGAAAATGTGAGCCCCCAGACAGCAAACACTTTAATCAACAATTCTTACCTGGGCACAAAGACTTGAGTACAGGGTTTGGTTTAAAGGGGATTAGCCACCAGTGACTCAACACAGACAACAAAAATTGTTCATTTCTCTAAGGATGCTTCAATTGTCTCGATGAATGAGCTCTTCATGATCCTCATTCGGCTTTCATTCACTTCCCATGCAAAATCTGAAACATCACATTCTACATGTGGTATTGAGAAAAAGGTGAACAATCCAATACAAGTAAGGAGAAAAAGATGATTTCATACTACCCCAGTCTTGGCATGTTGCTATGCCTTGGGATCACTTGGTCTCTGAGCCTTTTTTCCCTGGATTCCTACAACAGGTTTACCCAGTGAGCATCTCTGTGACCTTAGGCAAGTTACTTGACATCTTTGTAAAATATCAGGATGACGACAGAGTATCTACCTTCTATTATTACTGTGACGAGTTAGCAGAGTCCTTGCTACAATAGTAAATGTGCCAAAATAGGTGTTATTCAGTTGAGCCGTTAAACATGTTCTAATCAACTATATTCTACTGAACAAATTTTCTTCCTTCCCTCTTTCCTTTCTTCTTTATTTTTCTTTCTTTTCTTTTTTTTTTTTCTTTTGAGATGGAGTCTTGCTCTATCACCCAACCTGGAGTGCAATGGTGTGATCCTGGCTCACTACAACCTCTACCTCCCAGTTTCAAGCAATTGTCCTGCTTCAGCCTCCCAAGTAGCTGGGATTACAGGCACTGGCCACCACGCCCAGCTAATTTTTTTTTTTTTTTTTTTTTTTTTTTTTTTTGGTAGACATAGGGTTTTACCATGTTGGTCAGGCTGGTTTCTAACTGCTGATCTCAAGTGATCCACTTGTCTTGGCCTCCCAAAGTGCTAGGACTACAGGCATGAGCCACCACACTTGGCCTCTTTCTTTTTTATTTATTTTTTAGAGACAGAGTGCTGCTCTGTTGCCCAGGCTGGTCTTGAACTCCTGAGCTCAATCAATCCTCCTACCTTGGCATCCCAAAGTGCTGGGATTACAGGAGAGAGCCACCACGTCCAGCCAGAATAATTATATTTGAGCATAAATGGGAGTCACTATGGGATTGGGGATGGGAAGCTTCCAAATTCCCCATCCTTAAGAAACTCACATCTGACTGCAGAGATTCTTAATCCTAAATGTACATCAGAATTCCCTGAAGAGGCTGATGTGGTGGCTCATGCCTATAATCCTAGCACTTTGGGAGGCCAAGGCAGGTAAATCACTTGAGGCCAGGAGTTTGAGACCAGCCCAGGAAACATGATGAAACCCCATTTCTACAAAAAATATAAAAATTACTTTGGTGTGGTGGTGCACACCTGTAATCCCTGCTCCTCAGGAGGATGAGGCACGACAACTGCTTGAACCTGGGAGGCAGAAGTGGCAGTGAGCTGAGATCACGCTACTGCACTACAGCCTGGAAAACTGAAAAAAAAAATTCCCCTGAAGAACTTTTATAAATATACCAATGTGGCTGGGCATGGTGGCTCACACCTGTAATCCCAGCACTTTGGGAGACCGAGCCAGGTAGATCACCAGGTCAGGAGTTGGAGACCAGCCTGACCAATATGGTGAAACCCCATCTCTACTAAAAGTACAAAATTAGCCGGGCATGGTGGCACACACGTGTAGTCCCAGCTACTCAGGAGGCGGAAGCAGGAGAATCACTTGAACCCAGGAGAGAGAGACTGCAGTGAGCCAAGATCACACCACTGCACTCCAGCCTGGGCAACAGAGCGAGACTCTGTCTCAAAAAAAAAAAAAAAAAAAAAACAATGCCAGGCCCTACCTGCAGAGATTCCAATTAAGCTCGTCTGAAGTGGGTTTTGGGCATTGGTATTTTTCAAAGCTCCCCAGATGATTCTAACACCCACTGAGGACAGCTGATCCAGGAATTTGCCTTATGATTTGGGTGCATGGTCACTCCCTGTGTGGTCTGTTGGACCCTGACAAGACCAGGAAGTACTGGGATAAAGGGAGGTACATCTGTGCATCCATGCCCACAAGCTACCAAATGACCAATTCCTCAGAAGCTGGTGACCAAATCAGAGAGGGTGAGTGCCAAATAGTGGAGCTGAAATCTGCAGGCTGGTTGTAATGGAACCCCATGAGGGAAAGTAAAATAACCCCTGCCCAATGGAGACAGGCGAGGTTAGAACCAGTACCAGCCACTGTCTTAGGAACTGGAGTCCTAACGAGCAATAACATGGTCAGAAACCAGCACGTCAATTAATTTTCCCTTTTTAAAAAATGTTTTGGCTATTTCCTTTTTGCTGTTCTTTAATTTATCAAAGGTTTAGAACTACAATTCTTGTCTGCATCTGAGGAAATCTAGGTCTGAATTCTTTGCTGACACTCCAGTTGGGAGCATTGCAAAGGGACTGGCTCCTGCTGAAGGCCAGGCACATAGTGGAACCTGGAATCACAGGGAGCTGCTGAAGCACAGGGAGGAAGAAGTCAGCAGGCCAGGGTGGATGCAGCTCAGCCATCTCCGCCACCTCACAGAGGCAGAGAGCCTGACTCTGCCTGAGGGACCGGAGGTGTCACAGCAGCGACCTTGTCAGCCCTCCTTGGAAGCAGAATCTCAGTCAACGAACACCAGGTCACACACTTGGCAAGGCCACAATGTCATGGCAATCATGCCTTCCAAGAGAATTAGGGATAATCTGAGGGGTTTCTTTGTGGGAGGTTTTGTTTAGGTTTTTTTGAGGGGTATTTGTTTCTTGTGTGGTAAAATTCACCATTTCTAAATATACAAGGGATACTCTGTTTATACCAAAAGTACCAAGTCCCAAAAGATCCAGAAATAGATGTATTCCGACCCCTTCAACCCATTTCTTCCACTCATTCCCTCCCTCTACCTAGTCAGACAATTGGATTCATTGTTTTTGGCTCAAGAATTCCTGACCTTTTTGTGGTAAGAATCTACTTTTTCATCTCCCTGGAATCTCAAGATCGCTGGGGAGACAGGAGAGGGAAAGCTGGCTGGCAGTGAAACAGGTGATACGGAGAAGGGGAGGGACAGGAATTGGTGCTGCCATTACAAGAGAGTCCTCAAGAAAAGCCAGGACTGGGACACACAGTGGGAGCCACTGTGTTGTGTGTGTCAGATGCCTCCTGCCTGGGATCTGTCTTCCCAACCCGTAGGAGTGGCTCTGGCTGTCCTGTTTTAGCTTTTTCATCCTGCTTGTTTCGATCTTTCCCGCACTCACTGAGATGGATACTCAGCATCTTTCAAATACATGCCCTGTTTGTTTAAGATTAGCCAGAGTCTTTTTCATAATCACTAAACCTTCACTAAAATGACCCTCCAGGATCCCAGCCTCACCAGGAATCCATGACTCAAGGAGTGGGGTCAGGGGAGAGCTTCCAGAGAAGGTATTCTAAGCGTGTTCCAAACCACTGGGTGGGAATTCCTGTTACGCAGGAAACCTGTTTTCCAAGATAGAATTGATGTGATTTTTTTTTCTTTTCTTACCTACTCTCTATCCCCCAACATCAGAGTACATATATCAGCTGGTTCAGGGCTCTATGTAACTTGATATTACGCATGTTGAAATTCAACATAATTTGGCATTTAGTAATCATGTGGGCTATGTTCCTGTAACTACCTAAGTAATTGCCTAGATGGCTATTTTGGTAACCAGAGAGTAAATGGCCCAGAATCCATCCTTTAATCTAGCAAGCAGAATGTTCTAAGGTAGAAGCCTGCAGAATGGGCAATTACTTAGCTGTCCTACATACACCTTCTTCTGTGCTAAAGGTGAGGAGCCCTGGCCACTCCTAGGGTAAGCCAACTTGTGCTATAAAGCACGGGTGACCCTCAAACCAGACTTTCAGGAGCCAGACTACAATGAAAACTTAGCAGGTCATCCCACACTCCTTTACTGTTTAGAAAGATGCATAATTATTCTGATCCTGCTGAATGAGGACTACACAGTACAAAGCTATAGGATCCTAGTGGGAGGCTTCTTAAGGTAATGCCCACAAACTCTGCTTGGGTTCCAAAGGGCCCTCTTTCACACACCTGCTCTTTCTCCCCATGGATTTCCATGTATGATTATACTCTAGCTTTGGAAATGCGATAGAATGTGGTGGTTAAGAGACTGTTCTCTGAAGCCACACTACCCACGTCCATATTTTCAGCTCCACCATTCATTAGCCATGTCACCTTGAGCAAGGGACCTAACCTATGTCTCAGTTTCCCTATCTGTAAGATGAAACTAATGATAGTACCTAACTCAACAGATTGTCCTGAGAATTAGATATGAACTTGTTTAATATATGTGAAGTATGTGGACAAGTCTCAGCACTCAGGCCGCATGTTATAAGGAAGGGCAATTATTATTCTGGGCCTGGGTTAGAAATGGAAAACAAAAGAACATATGAGAAACGATGATGTCCCAAAATGTGACTAACTACCTGCCACCAATCTGAATTCTAGAGTTGCCTTGTTACCTCATTCAACATACATTTATAAAAGCTCTCTACTGAGCAACAACCATCGTGAAGGGTCAGATGATACAGGGACAGCAGCAAGGTGGAGGTGGGAAGGCAGGTTCTTGTTCAGTACACACACCTAGTACATGTGTTTGAAAAATTAAATGTGATTCCATTGTATGGTACTAAATGCTGGGTATAAAGCAGTGAGCAACAGGCACAGATCCCTCATCTCATAAAGGTTTCATTCTGGTAGAAGAGATGGATTTTAAACAAGCAGCCCAGATCAAATATAATAATAAATTGTGTCATAATTTATGAAGGAAAAATGCAGGGTGCTAAAGGGTACACATCGGAGGGAGAAGGAGTGTTGTGTCATAGAAAGTCATGAGACTAGAAGGACAAATAGAAGTTATCCAGGCAGAGTCAGGACGATATAGTTCAGATGTAGAAAACAACATGTGCAAAGACCCCACAGCAGGAAAGAGCTCGTGTTCAAAGAGCTGAAAGAAGGCCAGAGGCCCATTAGATAAAGGGTGATGTTGGGGCCGGGGAAATGATTACAAGAGGAGTCAAGAGAGCTGGAAGACACATGCACTGCCATTATTATACAGAGTGAGGAGAGAACGTGGTTCTTAGGTCTCTTCCAAGTCTCCCATCCTCCACACTTTCTAGTTATTTCACAGTGAAAGGATGAAACTGAAAGTCTTTTAGCAAATCCATATAAGGAAAAGCACTTAAGCTGCTTACTTATATAAGACAGTAGCTTAAAAATATCTCAGTGGGTATTGCTTCAGAGGGCAGCTTGGTCTTTCGATGATACAATTTACTTCAGACGTAGAATCTTCCTACAACAAAAACAAATCCAGCAATTATATTATCAATAATGTAACATAGATGGATGATACCCAGATGTATAGTTTTACATGTAAGAGGTCTGTGCATCCCATTTATGCTGTATATGCAATTCACTATATACGTGTGTATGTGGAGTCTTTCTTTTTTTTGTAGAAATGAGGTCTCATTATGTTGCCAGGCTGGTCTCAAATCTCCTGGCGTCAAGGGATCCTCCTTCCTCAGCCTCCCAAAGTACTGGGATTACATGTTTGAGCCCCAAACCAGGCCTTTGTTTACATTTTAAAGAGATTCCTTACTTGAAAAGGTTGGGAATTAAAGCAAGGCCAATGACTTTGCAAAAAAAAGAAGTAAAATAATTCGCTACCCCCATGGTTAGGGTAAACAACATTTAAGTGTCATCCTGCAAATCTAGCATATGCCAGTATTTAATAAGTCAAGAAGACTCCTTCAACTACATGGCATCGTTAAATTCAGCCACTGGGGGCACTGTTACCCTTTATTTGAATTCTTTTGAACTGGTGAAAGGCCACTTAGCTGTGTATCTGAAGCAGTGACAGAGGACTGGGAATATCTACCAATGAATCAGAAGCACTCCCCACACCTCCATAAAAGTCATACAGCCAAAACCACCTTATTAAATTTAGAACAAGTTTCTTTCAGGTTGTGGCCTTACAGAGCTCACACATCCAACTGTATTCTTCCCTGGATTGGGAGTCATGTGTGCAGAGGAAGAGAATGCTCTGTGGGCCTGTCTTCTATTGGTCTTTTGAAAGGACCTCTGCTTGATGACTGCTGTGAATCAAATTAGCTACTACTTTTCCGTCGGATCCAAGCCCCACTGTCTCATCCTCAGGGAGCCAGATCTGACTACCAACCAAGTCAAATATCTGCTACCATTCACTCTCAAGACAACAGGTAATCTCCTCAGTAAGCCTCACAATTTTCCACTTACTTTTGTGGTTATTTGATTAATGTCTGTCTCCCCGACCAGACTGTAAGTCCCTGTTCCCATATTATTTAGTGAGAAAATATCTAGTTTTATAAGAAAGTCTAACCTTGTTTTTGTGCTGCTGAGCTCTGTAGGCTGTCAGAAGATGGCATACCCTCTCATGGATATTCTTCCATGTGGACTGAGAACCAGGATGGAACCTGCACAACAGATGGAATAGGGTGGAGTAGTAACCATCTACCAAAAAAGACACTTAAAGCATATGACAATATGGATTGATATTTAAAACTTAATCATCACAAAAAACAGCGGCATCCAAAATGGTAAACGTAGTGTGATTTCAACATCTTTCTTAAACCTACCCATAGGGAAAACACTGGGGAATAAAAACTGCTCAGATACTAAGAATTTTTTGTGTTTCTATGTGTGGCTGAGTGATTCTTTTCTTCTTTATACTTTTCTGTGTTTTTCAGATATTTCTCTCATGAACAAACCCCACTTTTGCATTTAAAATTTTAATCCAAAAATGTTTAATATACAACTTAATCCCCGTTGCTGTTGTTTTAGGGACAGGGTCTTGCTCTGTCACTCAGGCTGAAGTACAGTGGCATGATCATAGCTCACTATAGCCTTGAACTCTTGAATTCAAGCAATCCTCCAACTCCAGCCTCTCACATACAGAAGACCAACTAGGTACATGTCACCATGCCTGGCTATTTTTTTTTTCTTTAAGAGATAGGGTCTTGCTATGTTGCCCAGGATGATCTCAAACTCCTGGGCCAAGGGATCCTCCTATCGCAACCTCCCAAATAACTGGGACTACAGGTATGCTCCACCAGGAGGAGGTAATTTTTAAATATTTTGTAGAGACAGGGTCTCCCTGTGGTGTCCAGGCTTGTCTCAAACTCCTGCACTCAAGTGATCCTCCTGCCTCAACTTCCCAAAGTGCTGGGATTACAGGTGTGAGCCACTATGCCCAGCTCCCAATCCTGGTAGGATAAAACCCTACCACCAGGATTTTATCTTATATCTCATTTTCTTTAGGCCACCCAAACTCCAAACTGAACCATAGGTTTGATAGTCTCTTTCAGTTCCCCAAACACAGAACATTTTCTACCTTCCATATGCATTTGGCACAGCTATTTGTTCCCTCTTCTGCTTTCCAACCCCTCTCCTACTTTCCAACCCCTCTCACTACTCTTATTAACTCCTACCCACCCTTCAGAGCTCAGTTCAATTGTTGAGTTCTCAGCAAATCCCTCCTGAGCCCTCTCCTGCAGAGTAGGTCAGCTTTCCTGTTATACGCACTTGTGGTTTCATTTATTTATACCTCATTAACACCACTTGCACCGGTGGACATTTTGTCATTATTCGGTTAGTGGCAGTCTTTACTCCTAGAGTGAAATCGGGACTGAAAATCTTTGCTTAATAACTCATCCCAGGACAGAAGAGGAACTGAACACCACAGTAAGTATTTAACAAATATTTCTTGGGTGACTGAATTCATTCTCTCATTCATTCATTCATTCATTCATCCATTCATTTGTATTCAGGAGAGGGATTGTTACCAAATCCTAAAGTCTGAGGTATAACTAAGCTAAAAGTGTACATAGCAATTTAATAATGAAAGGCACAGATACTGTTTTCTAAAAACACTCAAAGAATTATAGCCACTTGTGGTCAGGTGCAATGGCTCACACCTATAATCCCAGCACTTTGGGAAGCTGAGGCAGGTGGATCACTTGAGGCCAGGAGTTCCATACCAGCCTGGTCAACACAGTGAAAACCCATTTCTAATAAAAATACAAAAAATTAGTCATTGTGGTGGTGGTACATCTGTAGTCCCAGACACTTTGGAGGCTGAGGCATGAGAATTGCTTGAACCCAGGAGGCGGAGGTTGCAGTGAGTCGAGATGGCACCAGTATACTCCAGCCTGGGTGACACAGTGAGACTCTATCTCAAAAAAAAAAAAGGAAAGGAAAAAAGATAATCTTTAATTAATGTACAGTAAACACTGGAAATGACAGGAACATCTGGAAATTTAGTTGTTACTATGGCTACCATACGAATGACCGCACTGTGCAGCTGCCCCTCTGTTTGGCTGGTTCCGCCCCACATCCGGGCCTCCATTCCAGCTCTCTCTGCAACAAGCATGTCCCACTGGTTTCCAGGGAGATAAGACCAAGAGCATGAATGAATCTACACAAATCCAATGCCAAACCAAGAAAACTCATAGCAAATAGAAGCACCACCTAAAGCACTGCCCATGTTTAAAACTACATACATTATTTCTACACTTCTCTAAGAATTTTTTTTTGAGCCAGAGTCTCATTCTGTTGCCCAGGCTGGAATGCAGTGGCACAGTCTCGGCTGACTGCAACCTCCGCCTCCCGGGCTCAAGCAATTCTCCCACCTCAGCCTCCCGAGTAGCTGGGACTACAGGCATGCGCCACCATGTCCAGTTAATTTTTGTATTTTTAGTAGAGATGGGTTTTGCCATGTTTGCCAGGCTGGTCTTGAATTCCTGATCTCAAGTGATCTGCCCACCTCACTTCCCAAAGTGCAGAGATTACAGGAGTAAGCCACCATGCCCAGCTTTTCTTGAAGAATGTTTAAGAGGAAGGAATAGAAATATATTGAAGCTATAAATAAAGCCATAATTTAAAAACAGCCACCAGCAGCTGGATACAGTAAATGTTTTTTCATAGGTTTAGAGTAACCAGTACCAAAGTGACTCCTATATTTGTTACCATGATTGTTACATGCAATTTATTTTACATTTGAAGATCTTGGAGAATGATGACTCAACAGACGGCAGCAGGGCTGTGCCTTTACTATAGCCTTCTCCATGGGATCTACCTTCTCCTCGAGCAATGTGGAGGGAGAGGATATGCTGAAGGGGCATGACACTATTCAGAAGGTGGATATAGGGAACAGGCGTGGCAGTGTTCCTCCCTCCTTTAGTACTACCATTGTTCACTCTGATAAAGCCTTTTCTACTTCTTCCATTCAAACCTTGGGCTGACTCTCACTCCAAAATTTGTCTCCCAATTCGTCCCTACAAGTTTGGCCCTTATTGAGTTCAGCTGCAGAAATGCAACAGGTATTCTCATGCACCCTTGTGATCTGTGCACAGAAAAAGCGATCCTGATAGTGCTGGGGTGGAAAGAGCGGTGAATGAGTGGAGGCACAGTGCTGGCAACACCCAGTGTCCCAGGAATCTGCCCCTATGATCACTCTAAAGCCAATGGGCAATGGGTTCTTCTGCAAGAATAGGAAGGACACATCCCTCATTCAAAAGAACTGTTTTTAAAATATTATCTTCAGGGCCACTTCTCTGGTGTTAAAGTGACCAGCTGTTTTAGTTTACCTGGGACTCAGGGGTTTCCCAGGGTGCAAACTTTTGGTACTAAAACCAGGACAGCCATGGGCAAACTGGATGGCCTTTCTGTGGTTGTGTTATTCTTTGTCGCTGATAATCATGGCCTATTTACAAACACATAGTCCAACTAGTCCCAAGTTACCAGTTTAGAGAGACTTTGGGCACAAAGAATTTTCTGCCTCATCAGAGACGGTCAATAAAACTCTGGTCTGCTGCTAAGACTCATCTTTCTGAAATCACTTGTGCCTACTCCTATGACTAACATCACAGAGCGCCTCACTCCTTCCAAGCAAAGCTCAAACTCCTTAGGTCAGCCAACAAGGTCCCCCTCAGAACTTTGAGCCCTGGCACCCACTTTCTCCCAAACTCATCTCACTGCTGGAAGCTGACAGTGCCCCTGCCTCCCATCTCCCCTCACTCACCTCCCTGAACCCTATCATAATCCAATCTTATCCCCTCATGGCCACAAGAAAGCATCACCTCCTCCACAAAACACTCTGGAAGTACCACCTTCTTGTTTATACCCTGGTAACTTTTGTTCCACAATATTCACAAAGTTCTGCCTTGTAGAAAGCTCTTTGCATGCTTTTCTATTATTATTTATTTTTTATATCTTCTGCTAGGTTGCAAGTTTTCAGAGTCAGAAGAAACGTCTTAAATGTTAGTGTTCCCATTCCAGGCCTAGCAGATTGAGTATCAATCCTGCTTTCCCTCTTAACCACGGATTTCATGTGCTCCCCACCCACATACTCAATTCCATTCCCAGTTGATTCTGACTCAGTAAACATGAGGCAATTCTTCTTTTAGCCAGTTGAGAATTGCTGGCCTGCTGCATAAAGACACTCAGGAAAGGCTGGCTGAATGAATGCATAAGCCATCTAATATGTATTTAAAAAGAAAAGAGCCCTTCTCAGATCTCTCTCCTGATGGAATTAATTTCCTCCCCCTCTGTCTTTCCCCTGCATTTGGATTGTACTTCTGTTAAGTACCTACCACAAATCTATCTGATATTCAGTGACATGGCAGTATGTCTGCCTTCCTGTCTAGTGTGTGGACCAGTGGAAAGCAGAGATGTGTCGTGATGCTGTCTACTGCCCATAACAGTTGACCAGTAACAGTGTGCTCAATACAGTCTCTCAGAAAAGCTTGCTGTACTGACTTTAAGGAGTTTCGGAGGTGTTATATATACAAGGCAGAGGGACAGAAACCATGGCTATCCCCAGTTCTGGCAGCTGAGAAGCATTTTATGTCTGTAAGAAGATGGATCTTTGATCATCATACCCATTTTATTTTATTTTATTTTATTTTAAGACGGTCTCGTTGCCCAGGCTGGAGTGCAAAGGTGCGATCTCAGCTCACTGCAACCTCTGCCTCCCAGGTTCAAGCAATTCTCCTACCTCAGCCTCCCAAGTAGCTGGGATTACAGGCATGCACCATCATGCCTGCCTAATTCTGTATTTTTAGTAGAGATGGGGTTTCTCCATTTTGGTCAGGCTGGTCTCGAACTCCTGATTTCAGGTGATCCACCCACCTCGGCCTCCCAAAGTACTGGGATTATAGGCATGAACCACTGCACCCAGCCCGTCACAGCCATTTTATTAAAGATGAGGAAACTGAGGTCTAAAAAGTTGAAGCTGGGCACAGTGACTCATGCCTGTACCCAGCACTTTGGGAGGCCAAGACAATTGCTTGAGTCCAGGAGTTTGAGAAGACCCGGGGCAATACAGTGAGACTCCATCTCTAAAAAAATTAGCAAGGCATGGTGATGTGTACCTGTAGTCCCAGATACTCAGGAGGCTGAGGCAGAAGGATTGCTTGAGCTGGGGAGGTCAAGGTTACAGTAAGCTGTGATTGTGCCACTGCACTCCAGCCTGGGTGACAAAGCAAGACCCCACCTCAAAAATAAAAATTAATTAAAAAAATAGATTGAGTAGCTGTGTGAAATCACCCAGCACTTAGAGACACTTGAACACTAGAGCGCATGTCTCCTGACCACTGCCAATTGAAAGTTCTTTCCATTCTTCATTTAAAACCAATCCTCTATAAGTCTTTAAATCTAGGATTATCTCCTGTACTTTGACAATCTGCTGAATTCCAGCCTGGTGGCAAAAGCATAAGACAGGAGGGGCCAGAGGCCAGGCACAGAAAGGGGTTTAAGTGTGTCTCTGACCACCTGTCTCTGTGCCAGAGTCAGTTTTTTAAAAATCTATGTTGTATTCTTTTCTTCTAATAAAGTAACTAATCAAAAGCTCACCATACATTAATTGATTTTATTAAAATATTTGATCTGACTTTCTTAAATTTATGATTTAACATTTGAATATAGAGTTATTTTGTCATTTCTGAAAACACTAAGAAAGGATTGCCACTTTCTTAGTCTACCTCAAAGTTAATATAATTCCTGTAAACATTTCAGGGTTAATGTGATTCTGGGATATATTTACTCTGAGTCTCTTTGTGAGCAATTGTGTTATTTTGGTGGGCAGAGTTTGCTTCTTATTCTCGTCACTAATAATGCAGAGAAAAGCAGATTGGCATATCATTCATTCAAAACAATGATCTTATAAATATTATTTTCAGTGCCACTTCCCTGAAGTTGAAGTAACCAACTGTCCTGATTTGCCTAAGACTCAAGGGTTTCCTAGAATGCAGGCCTTTCAGGCTAAAATTAGGTAGACCCAAGCAAACCAATGGTTCCTTACTCTACTAGAGACTGCAGTTTAGCAAAAAAAGATTTCTGCTCTTACTCTCTGACCTGCTCTCCAGACATATGCAAACGCATTTTTATTGTTTGTGAAAATAATGTAAACAAAGAAATCAAGTCTAAACAAAGATTATACACCTACATGTTAACAATATTGGTCTTTGGGCAGAAGGACTGTGTAATTTTTTTTCACTTTTTTTTTTCTGTAATTTTCAAACTTCCTGTGGTGAACATTTTAGTACTGGTAAAATAAAAAGGGTTAGTTTTTAAATTTATGACAAATAAAAATGGGTATCTAAATACTACCTATGTCAAAGTTAGATGTCTATCCCATTTATAGCAAATATCCTGATATATGCTTTCCAGAGGCAAGAGGAAAGGCTCCACTCTGACTTTTGGGTAGATTTTTAAAGAAACAATCATTTTTTCATATCAAGGTGTCACCAGCTGAATATTCCTAAGAAAAGAAACTGATGAAATGACCCGGCTTTACCTCTGCCAGGCCATAATACACTCTTCTGGCAAACAGATGGGTGCTAGCCACTGACCTTTCTCGGAAAAGGGGTTGATCCAGAGGGCCAGGAGATCTGGAATGCTGGGAGGCAGAAAATGAAGCTTTCCCATGGAATCTGGCATCCCCTTGTTTACTGGGTGAGGGCTTTCCAAATTTACTTGAATCTAAACGTGATGATGACTTGCTCCTTAAAACAATCTGTTCATCTGGCTCTTTGATAACCTGAGTGACAATGAACATTATTTAGTTGTAATTTTGCTTCTGTTTGCTTAATTTAGAGCTGGGGATGGGGTTGGACAAGGAAGACAACTAGAGCTAATGTGACAGAATATTGGCCCAGGGATGTCCTGCAAATAGAAGAGGGTGTGGAGCAGAGAAGACCAGCGACAAAATGCTCAGGAGTTAAGACTAAAGAAAAATAACCAAAAGTCTGTATGTTTGGGATATATTAATAAACCAAAATAAACTCATGCTCTGAACTTTGATTTCTGGGGACTAGGGATTATTGGGTCTGGGAAGAATATAATTTTAACAAAATATTTAAGGACTATGGCTTAAGAAATATAGTATACTCCATTTTCTTTGTGTAAATCTGTTCTCATCTTGTGCCATAGAAATTTAAGCTTCACTTTGACAAACCAATCAAACTTCAAGAACAAGTGATTTGCCACCTCTATGTATAAAGGTACTTGATTAAAGAAAAAGCAATGAAAATAACTACCAATAAAGTAGGTATTGGGTATAGACACACTCTCTTTGGTGATTCACCCTACTTATATAAGGGACACAAACCACTAACCCCAAAACAAAGTATAACATGGCGTCTGGACACATCTTCATGTAAACACTAAACTACAACAATTCCACCTAAGCAGACTAACTAGAAATATCCACCACTGATTGGAAAAAGCACAATAATTGATATAAGATAGCTGGAAGTAAATCATTTTACAAATTCTACTTCTAAAATTACCTTTATGTTAGCTGCAAGGTTGTCAAGAGAAGAAGCTATAAGAAAGAGGAACAGGTGTTTCAATGACTCATTAATACCATTTCACTTTAAAACTGCCATTATATTTATTCAACAGCAGTACAAAAATTTTAGACAATGAATGAATTATTTAAAAACTTAAATGTTCCCTTGTAAATTACACTATCACTTTTAAGTCTCCCTTGAGAGGTCAACAATGAGGTTTTCTTTTCAATGACAGAATATATGGAAGAGGGAAGGGTAAAGCAAGTCTAAAGTGAATGTGGAAGTTCAATAACCCTTAAGCAGCCTAAAAAACTCATATTTGAGCAGGTGCCCAAAACCTGAAAGAAAGCACTGTGGTCTAATATAAAATGTATAAACTCTGCCTCCCCTGCCACTTTCTTTGGGTTTCATGGAATCCCATTTATGCAGGAGCTCTTGAATATATTTGTCCAAGATGGACACAATGTTAAATTGAGACAACAAATATGTAACAGCTTGGAGAAACAAAGAACACAGTAAAAACAGAAATCATTATGATGACCCTCAATGATCATGATATGTAAGTAGACCTAATGCTGGAGTACAGTAAGGCTGACTAGGAAATTAAGTACAAAATACATATAGGGAAAGTGAAAACTAGGTTGGGCATTTCCAGGTTGATTTAAAAATGTTTTTAAAATGAGTATTTGTAAGGCAATGCTAAGGTCACCATGGCTTCCCCCAATGTGACCGGGACTCAGGCAATGACAAGGGACTTTTTCTGGACTGCTGATCCCCCTCCCCATGTCACTGGTAGATATAAAATGAGATTTTTTAAAAGTCTGACCATTTTCATTTCCTTTGGGCATACGCATATGTATGTGCCACCTTGTCCCAGGAGCTCTCTTCTCTCCCACCCCCAGCTGGGCAGAGAATTAGCAATGCTAAGGCCCTTTCAGCAATAGCCACAAACCTGCCCTGTGGCCTCATAACCTCCTTCCTACTGGTTTTGAGCCCTTCCTTTCACAGGAGGGGCTTGCCTTCATTCCCTTGCTTCTCAAAGTGCAGTCCATGGACCAGCAGCATCCGTATCACCTGGAAGCTTGTTAGCAAAGGAAAATCCTAAGCTCCACATCAGCCCTACTGAATCAGAATCTGCAGTTTAACAAGAGCTCCAGGTGACTCAAATGCACATTCAAGTTTGAGAAGCACTTCTGTGTTCTACCTTAGGCCTGGATGAATGAGCTGACAGGTGACCTAAGCAAAGGTCTGGCTTGAAAGCTACAGAGATTCCAAGGGTCTGAGCCCATAGGTTTGAACGTCTTCTCTAAATGTAGGTAGGCCAAAAACTTGATGTGTGACCTTTACACACATTGTAACCTCTCCGGAACCTTAGTTTTCCACCTGCCAGGATTAAGAAAAGACAAAGGCCGAGACCAATGTGATATGTGAGTCCCATCACAATAGAGCCTGCATTAACCCAGCTTGTCCTCCCCAGGAAAGGACATTTGCTGTTGCCTGATTTCTCTACAGTAGGGAAAACAATGCTGCTTTATAAGCTACACAGGTGATTTTCAATTCAAATAACTTAAATTAAATGCCATAGGTAATGAAGCACTTTCTGCTTCAAACCCTGTACTCTGTCCTTGGCCAGCTGCTGTCAAACAGCCACCACAGTCTAAGAACACTAGCTTAAGTCACCTTAAGAGACTTAAAAGTAGCCCCTTAAAAGTATAAACCTTTAAGTCTAAGATAAGAAACTCTATTGTCAGGGATGGCAATAGATGAAAAGTCCAGTACTACCAGCAGGCAAAAGAATGGACCACCACCATTCCTTTCCAGCCTAAGAATTTTGAGTAAGTTCAGGAATGACTGATCTTCACTGACACCACCTTCACTACTGCCATGATTCATGGATTTCAGTCAAAAGCCTACAAGGGATTCCTTAACCCAGTGACTCTCAATGTGTAGTCCAGGGATCTCCTCCAGGGGTTCCCAAGACCTTTCAGGAGATCTGCAAGGTCAAACTGTTGTCATAATAATACTAAGACATGATTTGCTGCTTTCATTCTTATTCTCTCATGACTGCACAATGGAGTTTTCCAAAAGCTACAATGATGTCATGGTATCACCATTTGGATGGCTAACGAAATGTGTGCTAGTCTATTCTTGTATTTTAAAAATTTATCAGTTTTAGCCGGGTGCAGTGGCTCATGCCTGTAATCCCAGCACTTTGGGAGGCCGTGGCAGGCGAATCACAAGTTGAGGAGTTCAAGACCAGCCTGGCCAATACGGTGAAACCCCATCTCTACTAAAAATACAAAAAAACTAGCTGGGCCTGGTGGCATATGCCTGTAGTCCCAGCTATTTGGGAGGCTGAGTCAGGAGAACTGCTTGAACCCAGGAGGCAGAGGTTGCAGTGAGCTGAGATTATGCCACTGCATTCCAACCTGGGCAATAGAGGGAGACTCTGTCTCAGAAAAAAAAAAAATTATCAGTTCTTATTTCTAACACACTAAATACTGATATTATCCACATCAAGAAAAGCTCTTTGGGCTCCTCAAGAATATTTAAGAATGCAAAAGGGCCTGAAATCTAAAGGTTTGAGAACACCCTGCCTTCATCTAACTGCTTCAGATAGAGTTGGCTTCCCACCTACCTCACATGAAATCTTCTAAAGCAAATATTACATCACCTGCTCACCATCAATATCCTGTTTTTCTCCATTAAGAAAAATGAAAAGCCTTATTTATTAGGCATCAATGGCGACTCTGCAAGGAGTTCGCAGCAGGACAAGCTGTACTCTGCTTTCCCAGCCCAGCTAGGGAACGATTGCAACCACAGCTCACTCAGCATGCCTCTCAGAACCGTGCCCTCCAACGGTAAGGGGAACTCAGACAGAAGCTTCTCAGCTGACTGTGCTTTGTGGGAATACTGCCCTGGAAATTCCACAGCTGGCAAGTACTTGAGAATTAGGCCCAAAGTTCCCAACTTAACCTGTGATTCCTCAGAATGAAAGAGTATACATAGGACACATTTGTGGCCATAGAGAAATGTACAGGAGTAACAAGAAACTCAAGTACCTCTTCTCATTGGAAACGGAAAGTCTGAAAACTTAGATTTTCTTCTAGACCTCCTCAAATGATGCTCTGAAATATTCTCACCAAAGGGCTTTGCACTGTCCACCTGAAAGTAAAGGAAAGAAGACTAGAATCCACTGTAGCTTCTAGAACCCTCCCCTCATTACTGGTAATAACTGTCTCCCCTTCAATCACACAGTTGTAAAGAGAAGGCTGGAAAACTATCTACATCACAGACTCCAAGTGTGTTACATGTTATGCCTAAAAGAAGAAACTGTCCTTCATTGAGGCTAGAACATTGAGGACATGGGCTAAACATTAGCATAAAAAACTATGGTTGGACCCACATTATATTCCAACAACTGGTAAGGATCCCACACAGAAAGAGAGCAAGTGAAACTTTATTTCACAATCTCGTAAAATAGGACGGCATCTCATATTCCTTAAACACTATGAGTAGTGCTGGCCTAAGTGGGGTCCTCACTGACAGCAAGGGAATCCCACAAGATGACATTTCTACTTTGCACATTCGTTTCTGGGCTGAGTGTCTACATTCTTGAAAAAAGAATAATGATAACTATGATTTTACCTATGGTGACTGACCATATTTTCCTAAAGAAAAATTGGGTAACATGATCTGCAAACAGGTCAAAATACTTGAACTAGGGACTCTTCTAAAATATCTACAATATAGAGTTGCTGAATTTTTTTTACTTTGCTTACTTCCGTGTTTTTAAATTTTAATAAGGCAGGTTATAATGTTACTTTTCATTCTACTTTAATATACTGACTTGAATTTACAGTCTTTACAGCATCAGGTTTTCTAAATTTTAATGCTTCTACTTAAGGAAATATCACATATCAGAAAATCTAACTAAATAAAAAAATTATGTAAAATCATTGATAAAAGAGCTTGGCACATAGGAAAAGCTGTATAAGAATTTGTCAAATTAAATAAGTATCAAGCAAGTTTTAATCCCCTAAGAAATCTACCAAGATTTTAAGGTTACTTAGTTCATAAAGACATGGACTAAAGTTGTATTTTACAATAATTTGCATCAAATGAAGTAAATCAGATTTATTTTCAATAAAATGAAATAAATGAACTAAATTAGATATTTTACGGTGCCATGCTTAAAGATTGGTCGTTAGATTTTTAGCCAAATGTTATTACCCAGGCCTCCAAGACAACAGCTGTTGTATATTTTTTGTAGGTAGCTGTTCGGCAGTTTCTAGCCAAACAGCTCTGTTCTACCTACAAACCAACTCTACATACAGTCATCTCAACAGCACCTTCACTTCAAGACTTACTACACTTCACAGTCTCTGTCTAATACACAAACATTACCAGGGGTGGCTTTAAATCAAAATAGCAATGTAATGATACTATTAACAGTTAACATTCTGGAGAATAAGTCATTAATTAGAACATGAAATGGTGTTCATGTAGACTACAAAAGAATACAGAAAATTTTTAATATAATGTTAATTGGAATATATAGGAAAACTAATCTGTACATACAGTAAAATTACAACTTTGTGGAAAAAATAAAGCCTATGAATGCAAAAATAAGGCAGAGACATTGTGTCAAATTAAATCAAGCAATGATTTTATTATACTGGTGAGCCAATGGATAATTTTTTTCTTGAACTTTTCCATGTTTTCCGTTACTTTTATAGTAGCAAAAAAATTGTAGGCTGGGTGCAGTGGCTCATGCTGTAATCCCAGTACTTTGGGAGGCTGAGGCGGGTGGATCACCTGAGGTCAGGAGTTCGAGACCAGCCTGACCAACATGGTGAAACCTCATCTCTACTAAAAATACAAAAATTGGTCAGGTGGGGTGGTGAGCACCTATAATCCCAACTACTCAGGAGGCTGAGGCAGGAGAGTCACTTGAACCCAAAAGGCAGAAGTTACGGTAAGCTGAGATCATGTCACTGCACTCTAGCCTAGGTGACAGAAAAAGACTCAGTCTCAAAAAAAAAAAACTTGTAAAGAGACTAAGAGAATTAGTGTGATTAAATTTACCCACTACTACTTGAGGGCAAAATCTAAGATGACTTTAATTAAGGGCTTTGAGTATGCCACAACATTGCTTCTTCCTGCAAACAAACTTTTCTGGCTTTTCAAAGTATGGCCACTGAGCACCAATCTCATTCAGAAAATCCAGGAGGCTAAGTCAGGGGAAATGCTTGAACTTGGGCAGTGGAGGATGCCATGAGCCAAGATCAGGCCATTGCACTACAGCCTGGGCAACAGAGCAAGACTCCATCTCAAAAAAACAAAAAGAAAGAAAACTCAGGCAGTTTTCTTTAAAACTGACTAAGCTTTAGTTTTGGATTGATACAGAGTTCATGTCAACCTTTGTTATGTGTCTTCAACCTCTGTCAGTTCATTGACTCTTCGGGATAATGGCAAGTTATCATGTATAGACATTATACTCTGTTAATAATTTTCAAAAATTAAAAATAGGGATGGCTGACATTTACTGAGCAAATCCCCTGTAAAGGTACCTTTCTAGGAGTTTCCTGACAATGATCTAGGTAATTAACATAATTTAATCACAATTATTATTCAATTTGAAGTCCCTTTTTATTTAATATTACTCATTTGTTTTTATAGCTCAACCTTCCTTTATTCTACTCTCATCCACACCCTCACTATTGCAAAATACTCTAAAAAATAATTTTAGGCTCACGTGTCTAACAACAAATGGAGGCTTGCTTCCACTGAAGATTTTGAAATTATTTCCAAGGTTCAACTGAGCTGGCTGGTCCTGGAAGAAACGCCTGGTAGAATATGGAGAGGGAGCCCCAGCTTGCATGCCTTTGGGCAGTCTATTGAGATTATTCTCCTTTGGTTTCATCTTTATAGTATTTAATATTGGTTCATGTGACGTAAATAAAGGCCTTCGTGACTTATGTCTTTCTTCCTGAAACAACCAAACAAAAAAAAAATATTTTTTTAAACAAACAAAGAAAAGAAGAAAATTCTATCAGAATATAACTGTATTTAACTGAACTTTTACAAATTAAGGTAGAAGACTGGACATCTCAGATATATAAAACATAAACTTAAGGAAGGACATTTCTCTAATTTTTTTTCCTGTTCAGTTTAACATCAGTAGTATTTATAACTTGCTAGTATAATATATTCAACTAATTAACAGTCACCTTCATTTATAATAGGGGAAAGTTAGAAAGTGTCAGACACCTCCAATAGATACACGATAAAGAATTTGACTGACGGGTCTAGCAATTTCACTTCCAGGAATGTACTATAAGGAAATAACTATGGCTATATGTATATCTACAAAAATGCTTACGATAGTTTAAAAGTTAGAAATCAACTGTATTAGTGAGTAAGCAATTGTGCTCACTTGCAAATCCACCTCACCTGTATGAGACTGGTCCAGGGACTCTACAAACCCTCTTTTTGCTTTTCCAGCTGGTCTCTGTAGCCTCTGCCACTAGAGGGTGCTATAGAAAGTGCAAGGCTGGAGGAGCTATGGTGACTGGCTACTTTCAGTTTTGCATTCTATTCCTGTTAGCATCATTCCAGCAACCATTGTTCGCACTGACAGCTGCAAATGGCTCCACATTACAGCCTTTCCCCTATTATGCCAGACCTAGCTCCATTGCACCCCTTCAGACATAGCAGCAGCTGCTGGCCAAAGCCCCCTGTTCAGATTTGCATTTAGCACCACAGGAACCTTCCTCCGAGCTCCTGTGGCACCAGCAGTGAGCAGTGCCCCTCCTTAGAGATCTGAGTCCCAGCTCATCAGAGTCCCACCTTTGAATTCCTGAAGCATCCAGGAAAACAGCCCCTCTCCAGAAATCTGGGTCCCATTTCTGCAGTCTCTTCTTTAAGCTTCTGTGTTCTTCCTGACCCAATATCTTCCCTTTGTTTTCCCAGCCCTAAAGGTGGAAGCTGCTTCCTGCAGTTACTCTGTTATTTCAGCGTTCCCCTTTTATCTTTCAGTCTTCCCACCCCTGTTTAGCCTTTTTTTTTTTTCCTTTTTCTTTGAGATAGAGTCTCACTCTGTTCCCAGGCTAGAGTGCAGTGGTGCAATGTCGGCTCGCTGCAACCTCCTGATTCCCTGGTTCAAGTGATTCTCCTGCCTCAGCCTCCTAAGCAGCTGGGATTACAGGCACTCACCACTACGCCCAAATAATTTTTATATTTTTAGTAGAGACGGGGTTTCACCATGTTGGCCAGGATGGTCTTGATCTCCTAACCTCGTGATCACCTGCTTCGGCCTCCCAAAGTGCTGAGATTACAGGCATGAGCCACTGCGCCCCACCAGCAATTTTTAAAAATTAAATCTTTCTGTCACAATCACAAGTTTGGTATGGTTTCGTGACTGGACCCTTACTGATATATCGATTAAGTGCTCAACAAAAGGAAAAGACTGGCTGAATAGATTATACTATTTCCATATGGAATACCAGGAAGCCATAAAAAATTGTCTGGCATCTTGGGGACATGAGAAAATGTTCGTGATAAATTAAATGAAAAAAAGAAGGGTACATTCCAAAGCAACGATGTCTTAGGGAAAAAAGAAAAACGAAGGGTACAAAATAATATGCACTGCATCGTGATCTCAATCTTTTGTAAAAGTATGTATGTGTGTACAGAATATACTAAAAAACATTAATGCTGATCTCTAAATGGCAAGAATGAGACAGGTTTTTTTTAATTTTTGGTCCTTTTTGCTTATTTATCTTTGTTTTGTAATTTTCTAAAATAAAGTGATATTTTATTTTAAGAAAAAAACAGACTGAATGTGGTGGCTCATGTCTGTAATCCCAATACTTTGGGAGGCTGAAGCAGAGGACCTCTTGAGGTCAGGAGTTCAAGAAAACAAAAACCTATTTGTTTAAAAAGTTAACCCTGAAAGGAAGACCTATACTAGGAACAGAATTTAAATGGTAGAATGGAAGAGAAAGAAACACTGAACAATTGCTATAAACATATCACAAATAAATTGGTGAGAAGATAGGATAAATAAGGATAAATCAAAAAGCAGATAATGCCTTCCTTAAAATTAATCATCAGTCTCCCATTATATGAGTTATTATGCTGAGAGGATTGATAGATTTGTACAGATTATTGGCTCTTCTCATTCAATAGCCCTTAACACACAGCCCACATTTTCAAGGTCTTTTCTATGACCATACATGGGATCTGGGATAAGCATTTTGTTTCACTTACAGGTTTTACTCTACCCTGTCCCAGTTTCACACACTACCTTTATTTCTTCTCCATCTTGTCTAGAAAGGATTTTAAATGGCAACAACATTGTATACAATAAGGTAAAAGCAAAACAGAAAGAAATTGGGGTGAAGGGACACTAGGACTGAAGAAGACAGTAAAATTGCGGTAGTACACATGGATGCCCTAAGACCCATCACGCTTACCAAAGATGGACCATGAATACAATTCTGAGTGTCAGCCTCAGCAAAAGAAAGATGGCCCCATGTTTACTGCAGCACTATTCACAATAGCCAAAATTTGAAATCAACCTAAGTGTCCATCAACAGACAAATGGATAAAGAAAATATATACACACAATGGAGTACTATTCAGCCACAAAAAAGAATGAGATCTTGTCTTGTAACGACATGGATGGAAGTTGAGGTTATTATATCAAGTGAAATAAGCCAGGCACAGAAAGACAAACATCACATGTTCTCACTTATTTGTGGGAGCTAAACATTAAAACAACTGAACTCATGGAAACAGAGGGTAGAATGAGAGTTACCAGAGGATGGGAAGGGTAGTGGGGGGTGGGGATGGTTAATGAGTACAAAAAAAATAGACTGAATAAGATCTAGTATTTCATAGCACAACATGGACTATATAGTCAATAGTAATTTAATTGTAAATTTTAAAGTAACTAAAATAATATAATTGGATTGTTTGCAACTCAAATGATAAATGTTTTAGGTGATGGATACCCCATTCACCTTGATGTGATTATTACACACTGTATGCCTATATCAAAATATCTCATGTACCCCATAAATATACACAGGTACTATATATCCATAAAAAACTAAAATTTCTGGCCGAGTGCAGTGGCTCACCTGTGTAATCCCAGCACTTTAGGAGGCAGAAGTGGGCAGATCACAAGGTCAAGCCATGATGAAACCCCATCTCTCCTAAAAATACAAAAATTAGCTGGGCGTGGTGGCGCACGCCTGTAGTCCCAGCTACTCGGGAGGCTGAGGCAGGAGAATCGCTTGAACATGGGAAGTGGAGGTTGCAGTGAGCCAAGATCGGGCCACTACACTCCAGCCTGGCGACAGAGTGAGACTTGAGACTCCATCTCAAAAAAAAAACAAAAACTTAAATTATAAAATTTTTATTTTATTTATTTTTTGGTTTTTTTTGTTTGTTTGTTTTTTTAGACAGTTTCACTCTGTAACCCAGGCTGAAGCACAGTGGAGCCATCTCAGCTTACTGCAGCCTTGACCTTCTGGGCTCAAGTGATTCTCCTAGGTCAGCCTCCCAAGTAGCTGAGGCTACAGGTGCATGCCACCAAGCCCAGCTAATTTTTGTATTTTTGGTAGAGATGGGGTTTCACCATATTGCCCAGGCTCTTCTGTAACTCCTGACCTCAAGTGATCCACCCGCCTCGGACTCCCAAAGTGCCGAGATTAAAAGCGTTAGCTACCACGCCCAGCCTAAAATTTTTTAATTTTTAAAAAAGAAAGATGTAAACTATTGTTCATAAGATCAAAAGTAAAAGTCGGCCGGACTCAGTGGCTCATGCCTGTAATCCCAGCACTTTGAGAGGTCGAAGTGGGAGGATCACGAGGTCAGGACTTGGAGTGAGACCAGCCTGGCCAACATGGTGAAATCCGTCTCTACTAAAAATACAAACATTAGTCGCACGTGGTGGCGGGCGCCTGTTGTCTCAGCTACTCCGGAAACCGAGGCAGGAGAATCGCTTGAAACCGAAAGGTGGAAGTTGCAGTGAGTGGAGAACGCGCCATTGCACTCCAGCTTGGGCGAAAAGCGAAATTACATCTCAAGAAAAAACAACAACGAAAAAAGTAAAAGTCATAGAACAACAACAAAAGCTAAGTAGCTGAGCTGTGATTTTAGCTTCGAAATCACCCTGCTTCCAGCTCTATCATGCTACCAAACATATGTGCCGAACATACTCTAATATGACTGGCTGAGCAGAGTTCGAATTACAGAAATTCAAACCTACTAAAAACTTTCCAAGTTTCTTCTTGTTTAGTTTCATGTAAACTTGATAAACTGAGTTTGGGCAAAAATTCTTTAAATTAAAAAAAAAATCCGGTCATTTCTATCACTAGATTTTTTATTGTACTTACAAGAAATCTGTTTCTGTGCAGAAACACACATTCTCTGATGGCTGTCCTTGTAGAAAACTCTATTTTGGGAGCAATGCCCTAAAAATAAAACAGCATAAAAAAGCAAATAAAATTACTAGAAACAGTTATTTGGCCATCTCATTCTAACTTGAAATCATACAAGAACCTAACTAAGTGGTTGGCATAATCTATACACATTATATAAAAATATATCTGTAATAAAAATAGCTAAATACTTATGTAGTGTATACTATGTATCAGAGCCAGGCCTAAGTAATTTGTACATATTAATTCATCTACTCCTAACACAATCCCATGAGGCAGGTTTTATGGTAGTATCTCCTCAACTAAAACACAGTTTTATGTAACTTGTCATCTAGTACTAAGTGCTATTAATTGAACCCAGGCATTCCAGCTCCAGTGTCCATGATGTTAGCTACTCTATTTAAAACACAGGAGCATGGAATTAAATGAGAATATCTAGGGAGAGGTGTGAATAGACAGTCTTCCTCTTTACCTACCTGCTTTGAAAAACTTGCTTTATATCTCATATCAGATACTTATATTTATTAGATCGAATTCCAAATTCATTTTGTTTCATTGATTTGATACTTCTATTTTTTGTCCTCAGTACCATTTGTCTAAAATACTGTGTTTTATATATATATATATCCTATCCTGTTTAATTTTTATAATCCTATAAGGTAGGTACAATTATTATAATCATCGTATTTTGTAGATGACAAAACTGAAAAATAGCCAAAAACTAGAAACAATCCAATTGTCCTTCATGGGTGAATAGATGAACTGTGGTGATTTACATAATGGAAACTACTTGGCAATAACAAGGAACAAATGACCGACACACACAACTACATGGATGGATCTCAACAGCATTCTTCTAAGTGAGAAAAGCCAGTCTCAAAAGGTTACAGACTGTATGATTCCATTTATGTGACATTCTCAAAAAAACAAAACTATGGTGATGGAGAAAAGACTAGTACTTAGGGTCAGGGGAAGGGTGTGCCTATAAAGGAGTAACATGAGGGGCATTTTAGGAGTGATGGGATTGTTCTATATCCCGATCATAGCAGTAGCTTTACAAATCTATACATGTGTTAAAATTTATAGAACTGTAGACCAAAAAAGCATCAATTTGTTGTATAATAATTTTTAAAATACAATTACTTTCCCCCAAAAAATGAGGCTTAAAGAGACATTAAAGCAACTTTCTGAAATGTACAAGGCTTATAAATGGCACCACAGTGACAGGACCAGGATCTGACTAAATTACACTCTCTCCATCTGACCCCATCAACTCACCTGTGGCCCCTCTTCATGACCTCTCTGCTCTACTCTTCCCCCAGAAAACACCACTTGGCCAAGTTACCTCTTGCCCCGAGGCACCTTCTTTCTCTTCTTTTCCATCCAAATTTTGCCCATCTCTCAATGTCTGGTCTCACTCTAATTCCTCCAAGTAAGCCGACAGTAGTCTCTCCCTCCAGTCTCTAATATTTCATTTTCATTTATAAAATTTATAATCAAGGTGCTTCCAAAAAGGGTTTGCCCCAGCTAAATAAAGCCCTCGAAGGAAAAGAAGTCGAATTGGATGCTTATTACATGTGTTAAGTGCTATTAAAAATTTCCAGAGGCATAATCTCACCTAATCCTCATATAACCTGTGTAGTAGACTACTGTATCCCCATTTTACACAGGAGAGAACAGGCGTGGAGAGGTTTAATAGTATGCCCAATGTCACTCAGGTGGGTAGAGACAGGATCTGAAACTCCACTGAACTGCAAAACTACCTTCTTTCCATTTCCCCATGCTATCTCTCGAGGGGCCTTGTGAATCAGCTAGTCCGCTTGTTTCCTGTGCATTCATTCATTCATGTGCACCTATCCTGTCTATACAAGTCCTTACAGGTACAATTTACATCTTTAACTCCTTTTTATTTTGCCTGTGGGATGCACAGTATGCACACAAGAGTGCAAAGCCTGGATGGCAATTCAAGGAAATGTTTTGGGGCATATAAACACAGGGGCCAAGATGCTACACAGAGTCAGACAATGCAAAGGGACATTTGATAAAGAATATACAATAATATGACTAGCACAGCCTCATCTCCTGTTAATGAGATGGTGCACATGAAGAAGGCAGGCAGTGTCCACAGTGCTACTGGTAGAATCACAAGACCCTCACACATGTGTCAAGTTCCAGGTCCTCCACAGCCCAGTGGCCTAAGCCCGAAAACATCATCTCTCATGCCACAGACTTGTGCAATCTTCTCATTGGCTCACAGGGAGACAGTATTAACCCTTGGATGACAGCACAATAAATAATAACATATTTATTGTACACTTAACTATCAGGTGTTGTGCTAAATACTATATATTACCTCATCTAACACTCACAATAATCCTAGAAGAGATGTACTTTTACAGTCCCATTTTACAAATGAGTAAACTAAGGCATACAGAGATTAATTTACCCAAAGTCTCACAGCCATTCATGACAAAACTGGGAACGAACCCAGACAATCTGATTCCACACTTAACTACTATACATGCAGCTGCCTAACAGATTCCTGATCCACTTTGCCTAGAGAGGAGGAAGGAAGTCCCCTGCTGGTAAGGAATGCACACTCTGTAACACATTTTTGTTTATTTTATTTGATCTCCACTCCTTGCAATGACTTACTGACAATAAAGAATAACGTATTTTCTTTTTCATACAGTGCTGCTTTTAGCATAACAGTTTAGAGTTGAAATTCAGAGACTATATCTTATCCACTCTCCTTACCAATGGAATGATGGTGATAATGGATAGGTCAATTAAAGGATTTAACAGAATTTTTCTAGAATCATTCCACCAAAAAAATAAAGAATAATCTTTTTAAAATGCTTTTTCTGCTCACCTTACAAAGTCAATGTTAACCTAACATGATAATAGATAATTGTGCAATCTTGTCACTGCCTCATAGGGAGACAGTATTATTATCCTTTTTTTTTTTTTTTTTTTTGGAGACGGAGTTTCGCTCTTGTTACTCAGGCTGGAGTGCAATGGCACGATCTTGGCTCACTGCAACCTCCGCCTCCTGGGTTCAAGTTCAAGCAATTCTCCTGCATCAACCTCCCGAGTAGCTGGGACTACAGGCACGCACGACCATGCCCAGCTAACTTTTGTATTTTTAGTAGAGACGGGGTTTCACCGTGTTGACCAGGATGGTCTCAATCTCTTGACTTCATGATCCACCCGCCTTGGCCTCCCAATATCTTTTACTATCTATTACCTAATAGATGAGACCATAGTATTATCTAATAGATGAGACTAGATACCATTGCAAAAATAAAAAATAAAAAAATTGACCTCACCAGGAAATGAAAAATACTGTTAAAGTATCAAGTGAAATAAAACAACAAAATATAGAAATACAAAGAAAAAGCCACATTCTAGGGGAGGAAATAAATCTAATTAATGAATTGATAAATTAGAAGAAAATAAAGTGAATGATTTTTTTCATGTACATGTAATTCATTCTTACTTCTTACAATATTAATGAAAAGAAATCAGATAGTGGGCTGAAATAAATATAAGAAAATGAGCATCTAATTCAAGGACATGTGAAGAAAAAAGAAAAAAAAATGAGCATCATTCAGTGAGTAAGAGCGCAGTCTCTGAAGCCAGACAGGCCAGCATGAAAATCCCTGCTCCATCACTCACCAGTTCTGTGACACTGAATGCATTTCTGAAACTCTTTACACCAGCTTCCTTCACCATTAAAGTGGGGAAAGAATAGCTGCCACCTCACAAGATGGAGAAGAACTGAATAGGATAATCCATGTAATGAGCTTAACACAGTGCCTGGTATACAGGTAGCACACAGTGAACATCAGCTTTTTTTTTTTGAGATGGAGTCTCACTCTGTCACCCAGCTGCAGTGCAGTGGCACGATCTTGGCTCATTGCAACCTCTGCCTCCCGGGTTCAAGCAATTCTCCTGCCTCAGCATCTGAGTAGCTGGGATTACAGGCGTCCGGCACTATGCTCAACTAGCTTTTGTATTTTTAGTAGAGATGAGGTTTCACCATGTTGGTCAGGCTGGAACATCAGCTATTCTGAAAGTGATGGCTCTTTTGTGTGGTATCTTGGAGGTAATCAGCTAATTGAAGATGAAGCTGAAGGCCAGGCACAGTAGCTCATCCTTATAATCCCAGCACTTTGGGAGGCCAAAGCAGGGGGATCACCTGAGGTCAGGCATTTGAGACTAGCCTGGCCAACATAATGAAACTTTGTCTCTACTAAAAATACAAAAATTAGCCGGGTGTGGCGGTGGGTACCTGTAATCCCAGCTACATAGGAAGCTGAGGCAGGAGAATCGCTTGAACCCTAGAGGTGGAGGTTAGTGAGCCGAGATGGCTCCATTGCACTCCAGCTGGACGACAGAGCAAGACTCTATCTCAAAAATAAACAAAAGAAGTTGAAGCTGAATATTTCCTTTCCAGCCACTGGCTGCGAGAAACTCATTGAAGGCGATGATGAAAGCAAACTTTTTATGAAAAGCATATGGCCACAGAAGTGAGATGCTCTAGGTGAAGAATGGGAGGGTTATGTAATCCAAATCAGTGGTGGAATGACAAACATGTTTTCTCTGGAAAGCAGGGTGTCTTGACCCACGGCCATGTCCACCTGTTACCGTGTAAGGGGTATTCCTGTTTTAAACCAAAGAGAATTGGAAAAAGAAAGTACAAATATGTTCAGGGTGACAATGTGGTCACCAGTCTGATCATTCTCAACTTGGTTATCATCAGAAAAGGAGAGAAGGATATTCCTGGACTGACTGACGCTATGGTGCCTTGTCACCTGGGGCCCAAAAGACCTAGCAGAAAAGATTGCACTTTTCAATCACTCTAAAAAAGATGATAGCTGCCAATATATTGTAATAAAGGCCTTAAACAAAGAAGGTAAGAAATCTAGAACTAAAGCACCCAAGTTTCAGTGTCTTGTTACTCCACATGTCCTGTAACACAAACTCTGGTATATTGCTCTGAAGAAACAGACTACTAAGGGAAATAAGAAAAAGGCTGCAGAATACGCTAAACTTTTGGCCAAGAGAATGAAAGAAAAATGCCAGGAATAGATTGCCAACAGATGCAGGCTGCCCTCTCTGTGAGCTTTTACTTCTGAGTCCAGTAAAAAATAAAATTTTTGAGTAACAAATAAGATCAGATCCCACCCTCCAAAAACCATTGCAATGGCAATTTATTTTAATTTGTTTTATAGAATGGTTGAGAGACGTTGAGTTCCTCTATCTTTTCACAAATTGTTTAAAATACAGTTTGATAAACTTAATTGTAAGAATACCTCTAATGCATGCAGGTATTTCCACACATTTAAAAACCCCTTTCTCTAATGACTAACTGCATTTATAAATAACTATAAATACAACCTCCTACAGGTCATTTTTCTTATTTATGACCATAAAGTTAAATAGAGTTAACACTCAAAAAAATATAATAAAGTTTGTTTCTTCTTATCCTCATACTTAGCTGCATGCCAGCTCAGTGTTTGTAGATGCCTTTTATTTAACAGAGAACTAGGCAAACCAAAGTTACTATAACAAAGTATCCCCTAACTGATTCTCATCAGTTTTTATTCCCTGTCAGCTTCTAAAGAGCAATATCCCAATAACTCGAAATAAAATAATTAAAGGCAAGCTTCTCACATGTACCATGGGTTTAAATGATACACAAAGATATTGGAGAAACAAAGATAGTTTCAGTGAGAGTCATTAAACTCTCAAAGATAATGAAGGGCTTGGGGTTATAGTCATTAGGAATCCTGACTAGGACAACCTTTGATGCATGTTTGCTATTTGAAGTATTAGAAGCTCTGTCATGTTAAGCTTCACAGAAACAGAGTTCCTGACTGTTACATTAAATATATTCTACACAGTACTCTCAACAAAGTGGAAACAATAACACTTCATCTAATTATAATGATTGCAGTTCATGGGGTAATAAGAGAAAAGCTGAGTATCAAAATTTTTTATAATTCTCAAAGGTGTGGCCCTTTAAATGGAGATCATTCAAGTGATGTAAATGTCAAGAAAATCGTCAGGGTTGCTGTCGGGATAGAATCGTCAAAGACACATCAAAAAGAATATCTTGAATTTGGGCTCAGATAATGTCCCCCTAAGAGTTAAATTATCAACAGAATATCTGCTGTATCCTTTAAGATCCCATCAGAAATATAAATTTGTGGGCCTCTGTCAGTTTCCTCTCTGTTAAATGGAGACCATATCTGCCTTGGCTAACTTGAGAATTGTTGGGAGGAAAAAATCTTATGTAAAAAATTGAAAGCGCAAAATAAATGAGAGGTAACACAGCTACTATTGCTATGCTATTTAGTCATAATAGCTATGACTAAACAAACAAATCTTTCTGCTAATCTGCAACAAAAGGAGGCTTTTATAACTATATGACAATGTAAATATGGCAATGGTTTTAGCCTGATTAGATAAAACTGCCACCTCTCAGATCAATACTGGAAATCAGTATACTTTGGTACCTTGATTTGGGCATCTAGACACAGCTACTAAACAGAACAGCAGGGATACTAATCAAGATAAATATCAAACCCTGTCAGGAATAAAATGTTCAGGTCCCAAGAATTTTTCTCCTAACAGAAGCCCAGATGGGTGAATCACTTACTGGAAAACCTACAGCCGTCTTCATGAGCACGTCCCTATACCTCCTAGAATATGAAGGTGTCAGCTTGGGCTCAGGGAAAAGAAAATCCCGTGTGTTTTCTTCATAGCAGGCCAACTCATCCCATACTAGAAAGAAAGGGAAAAAAGCATAAATGTCTATATTTACAGCTCCAGGCTTAACAAAAAGTTTAGGCAGATGACAGCAGAGATGGCACTCAGGTAAAAATAGACATATTGATCCTAGCACCTGTTATTCAAGAGGAGACTAATTTCTACTACTTTTTATCTTGTGGATAATTTTTTAAAGCCTTCCCAAGTCATAACAGAGAAAAAAAAAAAGATTAAAGAGGTGTTCCACAAAACAGAATAGGAAAATCTATCTTTCCATCTATTCATCCAATTTTTCCTGCAACAGATATTTACTAATATTACCGGAAGCCAGGCACTGCAGATAGAAGAGGAACAAGGTGAACATAGCATACAAAGTTTACAATCTAGACTGGGTTTCAATGTGTTCTGTGATACATGGATGCCAAGGACCCAGAAGACAGCAACAACTGTGGTTCTCAGGAGGGGTACCAACCCCAGGGACATTCTGGACATTTGTGGAAATATTTCAAGGGCAGGAATCAGAGGTGTGAGGGAGTCCTGCAGTGCTCAAGATACTCATGCATATCATGCAATCTTCCCATCCCCAATAACTTTCTAATATCCTACAGGCATTCTTGCAGGCTAAAAACTATTTAATTGTCTAAGCCTAGAACTTAACTCTGTGTTACATGTAAACACAAAGCACTTTTTTTACATGATTTAGAAATACACTGAATTTTTCCAAGTATCATGTAAATCAAGAAAAAATTGTATTTTATTTTGTTTGAATCTTTAACCAGACCTGTTTGACATTTTGAAAATCACGTCCCATCTAAATGCTTGATTATGCTTGACACTTACTTATTAACATACACATTTTATTATAAACCACTCTCCTTTTATTTCTCCTTTATGTTAGTCAGCATATTACATCAATATAATCAACTTATTTGTAAAAGTTGATTATATTAACTACAATATTATTTTCATTATTGCAAAAGGGATCCTACAAAATACTCATTACCAAAAGATCTTGGGTCTAATGGGATGGACATTTACTGAGCTGAAGGACAGAAAGCTACCATCTGAATCATCTTCGACCGCACAGCAGGTACCACGCAAGTGATGTGGACTGAGAGTGGTCCCTGCACAGAGGACCATCAAAAAAGTAACTGTAGCCAATGAGGCAGTTTTGCTATTTAGTTACTGCAAAGAATTTTTACTTTAAAAAGAATTCTGACGAGGGTGGTTTTGTTTCGGTACATCAACTGTAGAACATAATTGACCTTACATAAAATAATATGATGCATTAAATTCTTCCTCCTACTAACTCCATTTAATATGAATGCTTGGGTTCTACTGAGGAAAGAATCAAAGGGCAAAAAGAAATTATTTTACATTTTTCATCATAAACAGCATTTCTTTCCACTCATGTTCCCAGCCATGCTCTAGCCACGAATGATTGATGTTCCCTCCTCCGCAATGTACTTCCACCATGCGTGCTATTCCTTCCTCTCATCCTGTTGGGACCCTATTAATCTTTAAAGTTTCACTGTAAATGTCTTATAGTATCTTCCCCTTATAGGTCCAAAGTGGAACTCTTGATTGTTTCCTAAACATCAGTTCTCCCTAGAGGAATCTGCACTAGTTGCTCAAGCTAAAGGTTTAGGATTCATCCTTGATTCTGCTCTTTCTCTCACACCTTACATCAATCCATCATCAAGTACTGTTGACTCTTTCCAAAACAAATCTAAACTCTGTCCCCTTCTCTCCATTTTTAAGTTACTATCAGGTCCAAGCTCCCACCATCTACCTCTCTCCTGCACTACTGTGATGGCCTTAGTTGACCTCCCTGCCTCCATTCTCCTGCACTCAAATCCACTGTCCACATACTACGATGTTTTAAATATATCAGACTGTGCCTTTCTCCTGCTTAAAATGTTCCAATGACTTCCCATCATGTTAGAACAGAATCTAAGCACCTTACCCTAGACTTCAAGATTCTATATAATCAGGCTTCTAATAACCTCTCCTAATTCATTTATTGCCACTCTCTTCCTTGATCGCTGTTCCCTGTCATCCTTTACCCTTCTTGCTGTCCTTCAAATACACCAAGCTCACCTCTACGTAAGGCTTTTGCCTCATCGTTCTCCTCCCTGTAAGGTTCCCTCCCCAGGTCTTTGCATGCCTGGCTCCTTCTTACTGAATAACAGGCTTGGTTTAAATGTCATCTTATCAGAAGGTGGCAACCCAACCCAAAAGAGCACTCCTTCCCAGATGCTCCCCATCATATCACGCTATTTTACTTTCAACATAATATTTACCACTAACTGATATATTTCTTCATGTATTTATTCATGATCTGCTTCCATCAATGCTCCATGAAAGCAGTGAATTTGTCTTTTCTGCACATTATTCTACTTCTGGCAGAGCTGTCACTAGAAAGGTGTGAACTCAGAGCAGTTCAATTAGTACAGGGCCTAGCCAAGACAATTACACCTGAAAAGGGGCCTCACTGTCAGCATCTTCAACAAGCCACTTGAAATATCACTAAAGACAGATATTTTAAAATTGAACGTCAACGATGTTCAGAGACGAGTAGTGAAGTGCAGCATCCTGGATGCTGCCCCCAACCCTGTGGAACACTGCTTGGGACATAATGGGTACCTGATAAATGCTTCTTAAATGAATGAACATGAGGACTAAAGTAAGGTAACTTGCTTAAGTGCCAGCTTATGTTAGCACTCAATAAGCATTAGTTACCCTCTTCGAGACTCAGTTTCCACACTATTAAAAAAGAGTGAGGGGTAAAGAGAGACTAAGTATTCTCTAAAAGCTTTTCTAACTCTTACCCTTCATTCATTTTTCAATAATTTATTTTCAGGCCAGGTGTGGTGGCTCATGCCTGTAATCCCAGCACTTTGGGAGGCCAAGGCAGGCAGATCTCTAAGGTCAGGAGTTCAAGATCAGCCTGACCAACATGGCAAAACCCCATCTCTACTAAAAATACAAAAATTAGCTAGGCATGGTAGTGGACGCCTATAATCCCAACTATTCGGGAGGCTGAGGCAGACGAATCACTTGAACATGGGAGGCAGAGGTTGCAGTGAGCCAAGATTGTGCCACTGTACTCCGGGCTGGGCAACAAGAGTGAGACTCTGTCTCAAAAAAAAACTCAAGTTCTAGGGTCAGGCAGGGCTGGTTTCAAACCCCTGCTCCACCATCTACTAACTATGTGATCTTGGGCAAATCATGTAAGCTAATTTCAGTCTCCTCTTCAAGAAAATGTAAAAACTTTCACAGTACCTGCCCTTTAGGATTACTGTGAGGATGAATGACAAAGGTATGTAGAGTGCGGAGCACAGCACCTGACATTACCTACTATTACCACAACTGCTCCCTGACACCAGCCCAGCAGTGGACCCAGAACTGCTCTGGTCTCTGTAAACATCATTATGTTCCTATCAGAAACAAACACGTAGATGTATGATATGATGCTCTACACAGGATGCCTTTCCTTTTCCCTCTTTCCTTTCATGTGCTTTTGTCTAGTTCTTGTCACTGCACCTAAATAACTGCTAAAATATTATTCCGGTGTTTAGCAGGAATTTAGATAAAAAATTAAGAGGCTGGGAAAATTGAAAGTGAGCTCATACTCTATTTTTAGAATCACAGGAATAAAAATAGACTGAAACATGGTTAGATAAATAAATAGAAGGCTATGAAGCTTCTCAAGACAGTGTCTCTGGTATAGTCATTTTCTAGAAATCCAAATTGTTACCCAGTGTGAAAATGTCAGCACACTAAAAGGATGGTACAGCAAGAGCCTAGGTTATAAATAATAAACATATTTACAGGCTGAACAAGTCTTATACGTCAAGGGAAGTATCTAAAAGAACTCAGTACTCTCCTTAAAGAGCGAATTACATTTTGCTCAAAGCTTTAGGAAGAGGAAAGAAAAAAAAAGAGCTAATTACACAGACAGTGACATCATCAATGGCACCAATGAACTTCTCCCCCAAAAAGGAAACAAATGAGACTTTAAGAGAAATAACAATTTTAATAACAACATTGGCTGGAGGCATATCTAACATTTCTAGTGCATATCAGAACTGACACTGTGCTTCCAGATACAGGATCACATTTGATTCCCTCTTTACAGATAAGGAAACTGAGGCTTGAGAGTTGACCTGTCACGATGCCACATGGCTAGTGATAGATACCTCATGGCAAAGGAGAATTCAAAACCAAATCATCTGAGGCAAAAGTTCTTTCCTTGCTGGTGCCTATAAAAGCATAAAAGCATTGCTATAAAAGTATAAAATATTGCTATAAAAGCACTGCTATAAGGCCGGGCGTGGTGGCTCAAGCCTGTAATCCCAGCACTTTAGAAGGCCAAGGCGGGTAGATCACAAGGTCAACAGATCAAGACCATCTTGGTCAACACGGTGAAACCCCGTCTCTACTAAAAATACAAAAAATTAGCTGGGCATGGTGGCGCGTGCCTGTAATCCCAGCTACTCAGGAGGCTGAGGCAGGAGAATTGCCTGAACCCAGGAGGCGGAGGTTGCGGTGAGCCGAGATCATGCCATTGCACTCCAGCCTGGGTAACAAGAGCAAAACTCCGTCTCAAAAAAAAAAAAAAAAAAGCATTGCTATAAAAGTATAACATATTGCTATACAAGTATTGCTATAAAAGTATAAAATTAAGCTCTGATTAAATGAATGGGTGCCCACTAGAATAGGCTCTTACAGTTGGATTGAATATACATGACTTACCCAAAGTAAAGGTATTTATTTCAGAGGTTAATAAAAGGAAAGCGCCAAGCTGACTGTCAAACAGGATCACACTGCCCCCCTGTGTCCATTCTCTTTTTCCCACTTTGTAAACTGAAGATCAGGAGGGATCTTTACTACTTAGCTGCAAAAATCACTGGACTTCTTCATTCTTTGAAAGTAAAGTCATATGCACATCTGGATATTATTACTTGTATTATTAATGATCGTAACATGTCTTTTGATTCTAAGTGTGTTTG